GAATCTGCTTCAGATTCTGTGTCTCCCTGTCTCTCTGCCCCTCCACCCGCTTGTACTCTGTCTCTGTCTCAAAAATAAACATTAAAAAATTAAAAAATAATAATTTTGAAACTTTTTGACATATAAAAACTGCAACAAAAGAATCAATTCCAGCAGTAAGACAGTAAATCTTGCTGGCATCTCTGACTTTCCTGTACTTTTTCCCCCCACCATGTTTCTTTGGAGGCTGAGTGGTGGTACAAAGGGGTGGGGCTCAGTCCAAGGAGGATCAAGGTGCAAACGGGAAAGGCAGTGATCATAGCATCCTTTATAGCAAGAAAAAAATTTGGAAATAAAGCCAATGCTGGTCACAAATAGGAGACTAGTTCAATAAAATGAACTTGAACTCCCTGGGCTTCAGCTTTCCTCATCTGTAAAATGGGGATAGTAATGGGTCCCACAACATTCAGTTTTTAGGATTAAATGGATTAATACTTGTAAATCACCATGTTTCAAGCACATTATCCAATAAGTGTTAGTGGTTACATGTTTATGCAGTAAAATAGTTTATTCTTTACCAACCATCAAATAGAAGGGTATTTAACATCCTGAAAAGACACCCATAGATTAGTTACATGGACAAGGGAGGTGCTGTATGGATACAAAATAGAGTGGTCTATTTTTGTTAGAACACACAAAAGGCAATACGTGTTTTGGATGTGCTCCTTATTTCAGGTGGCTTTAAAACTGTTCAGATTATTGTATTTGTGCAATAAATACAAAAAATAGTGCAAAAGTGAAAAAAGTTTTTGAGAATTCTAGCAGTGGATGGATGTTAAGATCCAATAGGAAGGTAGTATGTATTTCAATTTTGTAAATTCTGTTAATCCTGACCACATTAAGATGAATAGAGGGGCACCTGACAGACTCAGTCAGTGGTAGAGCTAGTGACTCCATCTCGGGGTGGTGAGTTCGAGCCCCACGTTGGACATAGAGGTTACTTTAAAAAATTTTTTTTAACGTTTATTTATTATTGAGAAACAGAGAGACAGAGCATGAGCGTGGGAGGGGCAGAGAGAAGGGGAGACACAGAATCTGAAGCAGGCTCCAGCCTCTGAGCTGTCAGCACAAAGCCCGACGGGGGCGGAGGGCCTCGAACTCACAGACCGTGAGATCGTGACCTGAGCCCAAGTCGAAGGCTTAACCGACTGAGCCACCTAGGCGCCCCTATAGAGGTTCCTTTTTTTAAAAAAGGTGAATAATTAAGAGTTGCAGCTTCCTGTTATGAGTTGAAATAAGGATGGTTCAGATAGTCTCCTGGGATCCAAATTTTGTTGTGCCTTAAGTACATTAAGTAATGTCTTCTGTCTTTGAAGGCTCAGACCCAGACCAAGTTTCCTGGGACTATCCAAGCCCACTCCCCAATCCCCACTACAGAACAGACTACTCATCCCAGGGTTGTCTGGAGGCCTATCAGTCACTTTAAGAACTGAAGAGGGGCGCCTGGGTGGCGCAGTCGGTTAAGCGTCC